ACAGGTCGACCTGTGTTCGATTTGAAATGTAACGATACTTGCAGTCTTATGAAGTTGGAGCCTATTTCTGCATCTTACCTTCTTCCCAACTTGGATGGCCTTTCTTGATGATCCCTTTCTTCCTATGCCATTTTTCTATTGAAATTCGACGCCCAAAGTTTTATTTTTCTTATCAATATTTACTTTTATAACAATTCCTCTCTTTTGAAGTCAACATTTGACGATTTTCGACTAGAGGATTTTGTTTTGGACAGCTTAAAGTGTCATATTCGAAATCAACACAAAAATAGTAAGTCGATTCGTGTTTGTTTCACACTGTTTCTATGATTGTCTTATGTCGCTCAAATTTGGATCCCAGCTATCCTTCAAAGATGGATGGAATAATGAAATTCATCAAAACAATCTGTTCACTACTATACTGCAGATATCTTTTAGATCAGTACTATGTCAACTTCAAACAAAAGGAGAAATTAATTTTGATTTCGATATTTGATCTTTCTTGCACTTGATTTTTTTCTCCATCCCTGAGCGGTAGCAGCGGTAAAGTTTTGAGCGGAATAAGGAAATTGTCGAAACCACACGAAACAGAAACTGATACACATGGCACTTTATGCTGATTTCGAATGTCATACTTTTAAAAGTCCAAAACAAATTTCTCCGCTCGAAGAAGGTCAAATATTGATCTTAAAAGACAGAATCCTTTGTGCTAATAAGGTCTTATAACGAAAGTGTCCCTTCACGTATCAAATTCCAAGGTAAAAATAACATAACAAGTAAGAGTACACTGCATAAATATTTAAAGAATAAAATAATGTTGATGCAGAAAAATAGGCTCCAACTTCATAAGACTGCAAGTATCGTTACATTTCAAATCGAACACAGGTCGACCTATGCTTTAATAACAACACAAATCAATCTGCTAATCTCAACTTTTGCTTTTCAACAACCGATTTTTAAGTCGAAATTAAAATTTCAAAACTAAGTAAAATATGCGCTTAAATTCAAAATTCATCGAGTAAACGCAGAATTAAATTTTTTCGCCGTCGCGTTTTGTGTTTTTTTATAAATATATTAAAACACTTTTCCGGGCTCTGCATTTACAAGTTCGAATTATATGAGTAAAACAAGTAACGCTCATGTAACGACTCGCTGGCCCTTTTCTGAAAGAAAGGTGTGAGGGTGAAGTAGCTGCCATGACCGGTTTCGTCCCTATTAAAGGACTCGTCAGATGACTTCTCTATTTTGAATTATTCAACAAAAGTGTTGAAAATCCAAAACAAGATTTGATTTAATCTTCAGCGTTACAAGAAAAATAAAATGAACTTGTAATAGAAGAATTTGACTTTACAATGGCAGCTAGTTCACACAAAAATAAAACACAAACCTGAGGGTGTGAGGGTGAGGATGATTGTGTGAGTTAGAAATATCGCCAAACCACGACAACAGTTGTTTCTGTCCATGGCGGGACTTCATCAGGTGGTATCTTAATATTATATCTACTAGGTAGTAATTCGTAATATATATGTATTAAACATTTGAATTAAGTTTGCCGATACAATAATTAATATAAAGACATTTGCAAATGTAAAATTTTCGAATACAATTAACTTGAACTATAATCTTAGTCGACTGTAGTAGGCAATATCTATTCATAATGAAAAATTTTTAACAAATATTAAAGAACTCTAGTCACTATAGAGTGAAGATGAGGGTGAGAGTGAGGCAAGCTACCTTTATCATGATTTCGTGCCTGCTAAAAGATTCATCAGATGCTTTTGATTCTGTACCAGTTCAAGAATGATCCGAAGATCATAAACATAATACATAATATATACATAATAGGGGAATTTCGAGTAAGAAAAATTACAATATTAGGTAGATACCCGTAAATATGCGGTGATTGAAATTGTCTTGAGATGGTTACGGGATTCGTTTGGAGTTGGCAGACAATTACAGTAGATGAGATCTCGGTTCGGATGAGTTTCGCTTTTTCTTTTGTGGGGTAGGGAATCATTTGTTGGTATTAGATATTTGGATTTACAGTAGATCTTAGATGATCTGAAATGGTTTATTGATTCAATATATATTCGTTTTATTTTATTATGGAATTAATTTTTATGAAACGCCTTTTTGTGTATTAAACATAGGAAATATATATGTATTAGAAATGTGTCTTGGGGATCCCTGGATTTGTTTTTATTGCTGCAGTATGTCCGATTAACTGGTATTTGTGTTCACTTGGATGAGTTTGCATTTTACTTGGTAGCTTTTGGCAAGTTGGGACTTCTTCGGAGTAACTCTTTTTTAAGATTTGGTTGATTGCGTGTGCCGACTATGACTTTATTGGTAACTATTGGTATTCGATTGAAGGAATCGTTCCATATTTTATGGATGTTTGATTTTTAATATGCGAAACGGTCTTCATAAGTATAATGCATTATGATTGGATGAATAGAATAATCGCGTTGTTGTCGTCGCAATAGTTTCGACTTCACTAATGATTCTATGGATGGATTTGGTTTGGTGTAGTCGAGTTGGCTTGCGATTCGCGATGCTCTTGCATGTTCCGGTGTAGTAGGTTCAGTTAGCAATCGGTCGCATAGTTGGGTATATTCGTTTTCATCGTGAATCATTGGTAAAATAGATGTTGAGATGACAGAAAGTTTTTTGATGAATTTATTAAAATGATAATGTATATATCTTTCTGGGTAGGTAGAAAATAGGAAAATAAATAGAGAAATTTTATGTGAAAGGAGATAGACTGTATCTATTATAGAGGAGCATCAATTTGATGGCTCGTCGCTCATGATTAAATTCTTTCAATGTTGATGAATAACGAAGTGCTCGAAGAAGAGCAGCTCGTATAATGTTCTCAAATATATGACATGAATGATCAGATTTGAATGGTACAACATAAGGTTCGGCTGCATCCTTATGATGAACTGATGTGGTAACGTTTCCATCATGATTAGTCATTTGTAAATCAAGAAATGAAATAGAATTACCAATGTCATAAGTTAATTTAATGTTGGAATGATATTTGTTAGCATCTTCAAGTATTTGGGTTTGCTTTTCAATACTGTCGTTTGATGTTAAGAATATATCATCAATATAACTAAGATGAAGATAATGTGTGAGAAATAACCTAAAGTTCACGTGTTATTCTTATAAATCTACCTATCTCCACATAATTCATTTGAAAATTTTTGATGTTCGACTATTTTTTGTTCCCAATGCCACATAAATATATTTGCTAAGGTTAATGTAAACGGTGATCCCATGACACCACCTTTAATTTGTCGATAATATCGATTATTATAGATAAAACATTTTCAGTCAAAGCAATTCGAGCTAAGCTTTCGATAGCGCCAATTTTCATGCCTCTAACATGTGTATGATTAAATTGTAGAAGAAATGTTTTTAGAATTGATATTGATTCTTCTTGTGGTAACATAGTATATAGATCAGTAATATCAAATGTATACAAATATGTCGTTGGTTTTAATAAACCAAGATTAATATACTTTTCTAGTTGACGAATAAGATGAACGTCATCAATAATTGTTGTCTGTTTAGCATATTGATCAAATAATGAACGGATTAATTCATCTAACATTTTTGAGATTTTAATTGTTGGTGAATTCATATCAGATACAATAGGTCGTAATTAGAATAGAATTTTAGATCACAAGTAGAAAGTTTGTTATTCTAAATAAACTAATTATTTTGTGTGCTTTTGGTATAAAATATAAATAAGCTTGTTTGATTTTGTTTTTATCAGGCATCATTTTGTATGTTGCCATCGTGTAATTTGATTTTTTGATCGAAGGTCATTTAATAAACGAACTAATTTATAGAATGTATCCATTAATGGGTCTGATGACAATTCTATGTAAGCATTTGTTTCATCAGATATTCTTTTACTTTTATGTCATAATCAATACTTGATCCAACATGAAAAACACCACTTTTATCTGTGACACGTATAATACTATGTGCTTGATGTAGTTTACGCCGAATTGAATGAATTAATTTAATATCTTTTCGTATACGATATTGTTTAAGATAAGATAATGATCTTGTATATCCTTCATTAAAAAGTCTTTGAAGGTGTTCAGAAAAATTTTTAATTTCTATTGATTTTTATGGTATAACATGACGATGATGAAGATCACGTACAAGTTTGTCAAGTATCATACTAATTTCCTTTTCAGTATTTTGTTTACTTTTTTCTTAGAATAAAGAAAACTTTGATTGGATCTTATGTAATTTGGTCCACCTATATATCAAGAACATATAGATTATGTATGTATAGATGAAACTTATTAAAAAAATGATCATGTAGTACCTGTAGATGAAAGAAAACTTAATTCTTGACGAGTGAAAAAATTTTCTGATGTTTCAACGATTGCTTCTGGATAGATACTAATGCTTTTGTTTATGTTTGATGATGATAATTTACGACAATGACGTGGATACTTTAATTTCATACGAAATATCGCTTGTTTATCACGAATTTCAGGTATGATACGATCAGTTCGGTGATTGAGATAATCATTGAGATAATTCATTAAATCGTTGATTTGATAAATATGTTTGGAGAGTCCATACTCAAATTGAAACAATTCTTGTTGATATAGATATTTGTTTTCTTCAATAATTGTCTCATAGTTTTTCAAAGTCTCCATCAATATATCACGTTTATAATCTCCTATTTCTTTTTGATATTGTTTAAGTGATTCGTTTTGACAGTTATTTTTATTTTGCATAGAAATAGAAATCAAAGATGGTTCGTTAGAAGGCATTAATTTATCTACATTATCTATCGATTTAGATAACATGTTACATGAAATACGTGATTCGAACATTGCCATTTCTTCAAATGTTTGTAGTTATTTTTGACGAAGATCGATAATACGATCAATGACTTCTTTCTAAAATATAAAAACAAAGCTAACTATGTATATTTGTCAATACATCAAGATATGATTACTTGTCCTTTTGTTAATAAATAGGAATATAAGCTTTTAAAAAGTTTCTTTTCATGTATATCATCGTTGAATTTATTTGCATGAGAATTGACTTTTTTTATTCAATCTATATAATGTAAACGAATGAATTCTTGAAGATGATTGTCGATAATTGATAATGACAATGTTTTTGGACAAGATAAGGATTGTGTTAATAATTCACTTGTACATCGATGAAACTTTTGTTGTAATAGATTAAGGTGTTCGTTGATAAATTTTTCTATTTCTATAGAACCATAGTCATGAGATTGTGTCTCTTTAACAATATCATCCTATAAATGATATACAGGAATTTGAGAAAAGTCTCTTATAAAATATAAACTTACAGGCCAAAATTCATGACGTTTTCCTTCTGTAAAATAGGACTGGTATAAATGTATATCAAGATTGAGACAAAACTGTCGATCAAGTAATTTAAATCTGGATACAAGGAATAATTGTTCTTTCCTTTTCTTAATCGAATGATTTAACTGAAGACGTAAAGAATGAATAAGTAATTTTTTTGGCATTTTTAAGTACTTTGATGGTCTACATATAAAAGAGGAAAAATAGAAAATGTGTTATAATATTGATCGAGAACTAACTGATTATTATTATTATGTAATCCATGCTTATCTTTCTTCTTTTTTTCTTTCGTAATGGTTAAGAAATCGAGATTTGACTCAATGATTTAGTAATGTCATTGGTAATAATTTCATTCAATAATTGAGATCGCTTACGTTTTTTCATCTGATTCTTCTTTTTTCTACTACATTTTTTCATATGATTATTATTACTATTGGGTTCTACTAGACTATTAATGTTATCTGTTGGATGATCATTATGTCGTCTATACATTTTCGTGGCCAACAAGCAAATGTTGAATAAAGTTCACTAAATCATCTGAAATGCTCTCCATGATGAAATATCTGAAATAGATAATATTCGATAAGGTGCAACAACATCTATAACATTATTTTCAATAACATTTCGAAGATATAATATAACTATTGATGATAAATCATTTTCATCAAAACATTTTTCATCTTGTCAATTAAACTTTTTCAATTTAACATTCTTTTCAACAATGTTTATCAAGATGTCGCTATCAAAAATATCTATTTTAGATTGATTATTTAAATGACAAGTAAGATATATCATGTCGTGTTCTTCGCTTGCTTCATTATTAAATATATGATCAAGCACAAAACCTTTTTTTAAAGATGCAAAAGATACAGAAAATCTTTTAAGAATGAAAATGAAAACATAAGAAAATGATATAAAATATTGAAATCAAATTGAACAAGAAATTCAAGCGACTACAATAAAATAATTTGAAACTCAACTTAAAATATTCATTTAAGATTTATTCTTCTACAAGAATTCTTTATTAAAAACGATTATTATTATTATTTCGAATATCACATCAGAAGTCCGCTTTCAAACAAAACAAAATCACATTGTATTCATATTGTGGTTTGTATTTTCTATTCTCAAAAGCAAGAGTTTGCTTTTTCATGTGGTTTCTCATTTTGTTTCTTGGAAATTGCAGATGATATTTCAAATTTTCATAGAGAATTTACATCAGAAAAATGAATATTAACATTAGCAAAACATCCTCCTATAGTGTTACAAGTAGATCAAGAATATTTTCAAGGATTTCACTATATAAATCAATGGTAAATTGATTGACGTTGAACTCAATTCTATTGGTTGTCCATTTTTTTCTTTCAGTATATATAGTCTTTCTTTGTGTTTTTAGTACGTCAACTTCTAACTAGAACTAGACTTGTCTTATTCTATATGTTGAAATATCGAATCAGCGATAAAAATGGTACTTTTTTCCATCATTAATTGACAGACAAACAATAGTATATGATCTATTTTTTTTGCTACAAATAAACAACAATTTCAGTTCATGCGAATCAGATTTTTTATCCTACGATATTAAGCAGAATCTTCTTTTCAAGAAAAAAATAATCAAAGACAAAAAAATCACCAAAGAAAAAAAAATCAAAATGAACATCATTGTTTCTGTGGAATGCTAAATTTTTTTGCTAATTCGTTCACCGTTTCTTTACTGATACTTCCATCTTGGTTCACAATGGTAAAAATTGCTTGAAGACAATCAGATATATTTTCCTTCATTTCTTCATCATCCTAAAAAAAATATAATGAGCTTCTTAAATGATGAATTAGTTTTTAATAAAGTAATAGTATGCTCGAAACCAATATCTGGTTATCTTGATCGTTTTTCTTGTCGCTACTCACACGATCGATCAAAGTATACATTCAATAAACTATTTAAAATGAATGAAAACCATTAATAAACTCTAGGTTAAACAAGCAGTTAACTTGTTTCATATTGTTTATCATTTTTCTCTACAATACGAGCAGGTCACAAAAAAAAACATTGTACCATCAAATGACGAATGCAATCGAAAAAAATGAAAATCCTTACTGTTATTTTCTCAGCCATGTTAGATGAAAATGTGTGAGAGTGTGATATGTATACACATACAGAACTATATATATAGATGCACAGTATCAACGATATTTTTTTTATCAATATATAAAAGAGAAACAAGTTAAACATTTTTCTCATATTTTTTTCAATTGACCTCGTCCGTTATTGATGCTGAACGAATAGAGAAAAAGAAAGAAAAATTAATTTTCAACATCCATAACGGACGAGGTCAATTGAAAAGACATATGAGTAAAATATCCCATTACCTCCATCACCTCTACAAACCATGCACAAAAAAGCCAATTCTTTTTTTGCAATATTTACTCGAAATATGTCAGATGATAAAAATCAAACTTACAGGTAAATTCGATAATTGATTATCTTCATTTGTATCATCATCTTCATTTGGATTATTTGGATTACTATTTTCCGTGAAATAATGTATTATGTAAAGTAGATTATTCCATTTCACTTGGTTTAAACCTAAAACATTGTGTTAATCAATAATAAATTCATAATATATAATTACCATTGGGATCAGCTTCACCAATAAGTGCACTCATTTTAGTCGAAGATTTAAAACCAAGGTCGTTTAAAATAGTTTCTAAGATATTAGGCTTAAAGATTGTTTGAATTTTGCACATTCATACATACCAGCTTGATCACAAGTGACCCAAGCATCATCATTATCATCATTATGATTACCATCATCATGATTACTACGAGAGAAATCAAGAAATTTGCGATTTGCATTAGCTATTTTTTGTGAAGTTGTCATAAAATCCTCCATATCTAAATATTAATAAATAATTCGTTTATAGAAGGTAACCAGTTTTTTTTCACTATCTCCTTTTTTATCATCTTGAATGTTTAGAAAAAGCATAAAAAGAAGGGAATTAGTTCTTATACATGACATAACTTACATCACAATGACGACTATTATTTTCTATTGAGAGTGATAAATCGTCAGCTATTTCGCTTGTTCATCGAATTTATTCGAGGTGTGCAGATAAAACATTATTTGTTTTCTACTGCTGCGATATCAGAAATCAACAGAACGAAAAATTTGTTTGCTTCAAATGCATAATGCTTATCACTAGCGAAAAGAAATTCATTCGATCTTATTGTTAATAATTCAGAAAGAAAATAACTAAACATGATTAACAAGTAAAGTTTGGCTCGAGTCGGATTACTAAAAACGTTTTTGACATTAGATCGAGTAACAATAAATTAATTGATCGATGTCAAAGTTGATATAAGACAAAGAGCAATTTTAGATACTACAATGGTATTATTGTTTTCAATTTTGAAAGAACTCGTAAAGATTCCGTAAGAAGGATATATAATCTTTGAAAAAACCTTTCTTTGATTGGTCAAAATATGTCTTTGATCTCGCATGGTGTTTTGAAAAAAAAATGATCTATATTAGATTTTGTTCTGTTAACAAAGTGAACTTAATAGTCCTTTTTAAAAACATTTACGTGTTTATTATTTAATTGATAAATCATCATCTTGAAAGAAGATAAACAAGAATTATTTTTCATTTGCTTCATTATATTATTGTTCCAATATTGGCTTATTAACTTGTATTGTAAATGTGTAACAAAAAAAAACAAAAATGTTTTTGTTTGAATAATTTGTTAATTTAACATATTTTTACATAAACCATTGATAAGTTGTTGATTTTCTTGCATTAACATTATTACAAGAACAATACTGATTGATTCTTTTCGCTACAAAATTTGCTAATAATAATGTTTTTTCTTCGTTTTCTGTTGTTGAATTAACAACAATATATATATAATTTGTTGTTACATCACATTAGTCTTTCGCAAATGTTCAATAAATTCAATTCAGAAATAAAAATAATTAAAAATGGACATTCATTTGCATCATCTTGAAGTTCATCTACTTCTGCAGATAGAAAATCTTCGATTTACTGAAAATAATTTCTTGAGTGCTTTCATTTTCACTTGAACAGCGAGCAACCATAGATAATGATGGAGGATTTTTAGTTGATAATGTTGTTGTTTGAACATTGGATATTTTTCAAGTTAATAAAAATTCTAAACCAAATGAACAAATAAATTTAACAGGATAGGTTTTTAAACTAGCAAGTTCTGTTGTTGCTAATGATAATGAAAGATTTTATTTTGCTTTATTTATTTTGATTAGTTGATGATTCATTCATTATCCATTCAATTGAATGGACAAGAAAATCTATTAGAAAAAAACAAAAGCCAAAATATTTACTATTTATGTGAAGAAATGAGTGAAGCACAGTTCTTGTTGACATCAAGAACACAAAATCATCGGTACATCAATACAACTTTTTTCATGCCATTTATCTGTTTTAAAAGTGAAACAGATGTCTTTCGCATTCTGTAAGATTTCATCCATTTTTTTAAATTTTTATTCATGATGACGATGAGCATGGGCGGGCCAGCATAGGGGCGAGAGGGGGCAATTGCCCCCCCTAAAAAAATTTTTTTGGCTGGGACTTAAGAAGAACGCCATGAAAACAAGCGTTTTTAAGCGAAAAAGTGCTTATTGCCCCCCTGAAAATTATGGTCCGGCCCGCCAATGACGATGAGCATGATATAAATGCATTTAAATCTTAATTGATTCTATAGAAACCGAGTATTTAATCATGATGAGATCAAGTTTCCAAAATGCACATTTGTTAATATCTAGTGAAAAAAAAACGAAATTTATTTATCAAATAAAAGAAAATTTTCTAAATCTTCTAATAAAACATAAGATGAATTCGTATGTTATGATTTGTATAACATTTTAATTCATTTTTGAATTTGATTCATTTGTACATAAAAGAAATTTTCATAATTTTCAAATATTAGTCAATTAAAATCCTTCTAGCAATAATATCTTTGATTGAAAAAAAATAATTAAGATAAATTCACTTGATTATGAAGTAAGTAGGTTTATGCGCGCTATTAGATGTATAACAATCCCATGTCGAACGGCACGGTATCGGTACGCGTGCGGCACGAAACTTTGGTACGCGTACCGCCGTAACGCGGAGCTCGCGTACCAAGCGTACCTCCAGCATAATGTACACGTACCGCAAAGTGCATTATAATGCACTTTGGTAATTATTCTATTGGTTTATTTCCGAACGTCAACCAAACCGTTGACATTACCGATTTTAAGGTTGAGATAAGCTACATTTACACGCATACAATAGTGAATGTAGTTTATCCTTGTTAGTTTAAATCAATCAAATCATATTCCATGTTATACCTAATTTTCTTTCTATTGTGTTGTATTTCAATTATCTAACATCGACGGTACATGGACTGTCATTCATAAATAATTATTATTCTATAAAAATATAAAACAAATCTCAAGTTTTTTTAAAAATTAATTGAAGTGTAATTCTTTTTCTTAATGAAGATTAGATCACACAAAATACCTTCTGTTTCTACAGAAATTTGATAAAATTATTAATGCCATCTCATGAATGAAAAGTTGAATAAGAGAATTTATTAGAAGGTATTCAATTATTGTGTTTTTGACGAATAAAACATATTGTGTTATAATTTTGATGAAATTATAACGAGAAAAAACAATCTTTAGATTATTTTAAATCTTGAAAAATTTGTATCGCAGGTAACGGAGATAGTCGGGAATGCTATCGATACCCCGCAAATCTACATATCTTTATGATCGAATTTGTTGTATCTAATATTGATTAGAAAAATTACTTATTCATATTTCACTCGATTCTTTTTCGAGATTCAGGAACCGAATATTAACCCTTTACTCCTCATAACATTTCTAGAAGACCCACCAATAAAATAACTATTGAAACAAAGTATTATCGTCTTCAGTAGGTCAATAATATAAGTAGATCGATCGGATGCACTTCCCTATTTACACGATACTTTCGCAACTCCAGTTGCCATTGGGGAGTAACGACATGAATATTGTTTTCAATCTTTTGAGAGTAGCTTCTTGATTTCGTAGAAGTACAATGTATTTTTTCATTTAAACGATATGAATAAAAAAATTCAACATATGACTAGATTTTTTTTTTCAACTACAATATATGTACTTCTCAAACAACTTTCTATATACATAAAGTATATTTTTTTCGTAGTAATTAGGTCATCAAATAAAGAACATAATTAGTTATTGGTTCATTCTTCTTCAACTTCGAATATAAAAAGATTAAAAAGCATTAGGGTGTGAGTTTTGGTATGGTTTGGGTCATTTGTTGTGCGAAATTGGCATCCACACCTATGCAAAACAGTTATATAACAACAAACGATGCTTGTATTTATAAATAAGAACAGTCTCTTTACTTATCTATGCGTAAATATTAACAAGTTTTCTGTTTACACGAGAATTTCTAAATCTTTTTTTTCATGTTGTTACTCCCCAATGGCAGCTTCAGCTGTCTTTTTATGTCCTACAATCTCCTGTTCAACTAGTTCATGTGAAAATTTTTACAAGTGCTTTATTTAGTAGCATCAACTTTCGTTCATGTTTATCGCGCAACACATCATCAAAACAAGTATTTCTCGTGAGCAAAAAAAGACAATTTAGAAAGAGGAGGACATTTTTTTAATACTCTCATAATCGTCTCTGTTGTAAGTCGTTTATCTTTGAAGCAGAGCAAGGATACAAAACTTGTTTTTGCCAATCGACAGTTTAGGGAGTTCTCTACACACAGTGTGTAAAGAGTTTTTTTAATACCACATCTTCTGTATTTTCTGCAATGTTCCAATAAATGACAACCCCAGTTGCTAATGGGAGTAAAGGGTTAAAGTATTAGTTTTCATTTATTAAGTATGCAATTATTCATCAGTAAGAAAAATATCAACACATCGACGCATATATTCTTTTTATTTATTTGTCAATCAATATTAAGCTGAACGAGGAAACCTATCTAGTTCTGATTAATCGTTTGTTTTTTATCGGCAGATTTAGGTATAGTCAATGCTGGGTAGCTTTTTCTATTTTTATTTTTTGAAAAGGGTGGAGTGGGTGTGGGTGTGGGTGTCGAATTTTTATTTACAACCAGGCCCACACCATCATAAGTTATCATAATGAATTGACCAACGACATAATCATTGTTATAATAGGATCTGAAAAATCTGTTCTTTCTTTTATCGTCATATCTTAAGAAATGAATTTAAACTAAACTAAACAAAAGAGTAGATTAAATATCAGGCATTTCTTTTTCTCATACAACTTCATATTATATTTCAATGTTGACTTTTATCAGATGTAATCAATAAATTGGTTTATTCTAAATTACTTGTTTCATGCAAATGATGATCGAGAAATCTTGTTTCAATTTTCTGTCTTATTTTTTCATTTTTTAGCAGAGTATTATTTGTGAGATTGACACGTGTGGAGCTGGATTCCATCACATTTTGTATAATAAAGATTTCTATAATAAAAAGTGTAATTATAGATCTGTGTTTATAGAGAAGTACAGTAAATGATTCTCTTCAAATGATTGTATATAAATCTTACGAACTTCTCTAATAAGAAAGATTTTTCAAATAAAAATACAAAGAATGAGAATGAGAACGAAATCAAAGCTGAGACTAATTGTTTATATAAAATCCTTGCTAAAATGATGGACAAATTGCATCAATATGTTTCTAACAATTGTTTAATTAAATTCGAATATTTAAATAATAATTATGGTATTCAATTTCATATAAATAATCATTCAAATCAGAAAAATATATTATCAAATAATAACACAAAATCAATAAATAATAGATTATCTTCTTTTTTGTTTTACTTAAATAT